AGTAAGAAAGAGACTGATGTCTCTTTAAAATGGTCAAAAGACTTAAACAGAAACCACTTTTAAATATCTAAATGGTGAGTAAACACATGAAAAAGTGTCGTTAGTCATCAGAGAAATACTATTTATACCACAGTAAGTTACTGTCACACCCTTATTATGATGATGAAAATGAACAAGACTGGCAATGTCGTGTGTTGGTGAGGATGTGGAATTGCAGCTCTCATATATTGCTTGTGGGAGTATAACTTGGTAAAACTAATTTGGAAACCTCTCTGTCAATGTCTGTTAAAGCAGTTCCATTCTTGGGCATAAACCCAAGAAAAAATTAGTGCTTATTTTCTCAAACCAGATATATTTGAAAGTGTTCAAAGAAGTTTTACTTATCATAGCCCAAAACTGAGCAACCCAGTGTCTACCTAGAGTCAAATGGATAAAGTTGGGTATATTCAAACAGTGACATGCTGTTCAATAATGAAAATAACAAACTGCTGTTACACACACCATAGATGATCTGACAATGGTGAGTGAAAGAAGCCAGTTACAAGGGTGTACATAGTGTATATAAATATGAAGTGTATATACAAAAGAGTATATGTAACATCTACATACGAAGTTCAAAAACTGTTAAGATTGATTTTGGGTGATTAAAATCAGAATAATAGTTACCTTTTCAGGGATGGTAGTATGATACAAACAGTTTGCTTAGATGCTGGGAATATTCTTGTGTCTTCATCTCAGTAGTGGTTACCCAGGTGTGTGTATGTATTCATGTAAAAATTGAGTTCTACATTTTTGTGCTCTTTACTCTATAAAAACTATTACTGTAATAAAAAATGGAGAAAAAGGAAAGTGTTAGAATACTGGAATAATTTATCTCCAGAGCTAACTATACAAAACAACTCAAGCTAGACTTTCTGAGGTTGTCATCTCTGTTGTTCAAAAGAATATCAGATGAATCTTTAACTTACGTGACCTTCATTTTACTAATAAGGAAAGTGACACTGAAGTTCCATGATATGTTAGTAATAGATGAGAGGGTAAAAGCTAGATCCCCCAGATTTACCTAGGGCTTCATTTATTAAATTGGTGCAAAGTACAGTTTTGGGGCAAGATTGCATCTTGGTGTTTAGTCCTTGCTTTTATATGGGAATTTTTATTTGGTTGATTGTTGGTTTGGTTTGTTCAGACTTATGATAGATGTAAAATTTTAGAGTATGTTTAGAATTGGAATTTTTACCTTAGAATATTCATAATGTTAATATTAAAAAATAAATGAATGCTCACTTGAGAGCTGTATCATTTTTCAAATAGTGAATTAAAAAATATAGGAAGTTATATGTCTGCTATTGATATGAAACTAGTTGTTTCTCTTTTTTCACCTTGTAT